TTTAAGCAGCTTGAGAAGGAAATGTGATAAGATCCATCAAGAAGTATCAATGGACCAAGGAGAATCCTAGGATGCAAGAAAGTCTCCAAAAGAGAACTACAGATAGGGAAAAAGAAAATAACATCTCTCTTCTTGATTGCTATTTATGTTTTGAAGTGACTTCAAATAGACTGTATATTAAAAATTCAAAGTATTATTCCATAGCTCCTTTGATTCTCAAGAGCTAAACCTTAAAACTTAATTGATACTAATCTAAGTTGGGAAGGAGGCCTGTATTGCACTTTTATTATAGAAAGAAGATGGGCCTCATTTAATGCTTTTTGACATTTGATAATAATTGCTTTATCAAATTGCTTCTTCAACTGAAGATAAATCTTTTTCCCAAGTTTTTTTTTTTTTACATTAATTGCTGATAGTCACATGAAATAAGTTCTTTTTAATGATGAAAAGCACAAAATGGTTTAGAAACCAAGTTAGAAAATAAAGCTTTGGCTGATATTTAATCTCAATTAAAAAAAAATCATTTCCTAGTCATTGCCCATGTAAGTTTAGGGCAAAAATCAAAACATCAAGCCTTACAGGTTTGATGCACCATGTCAGAGATGGAGGACTTCAAATTATAAACTGGTGGTTTTACAAGGAGGAAAAACCAGGGTCAGAAAAGAAAAGTGATTTACCCAACAACCCACAGTAAGTTGATGGCTGAGCCAGAACAAAAGCCCAGAATGTAATTCTATGATAAATTATTTTCTGTTTGTCTGAGCTGGTCACTCTCAACAAAATCCAGATTCTTCTTTCTGGAAGGAGAGTTATTCCCACATTTGGGGTCTGGGAAGCTTCCCAGCTAACATTATAATAATGTTTTCTTTTATTCAAGGTGGTGTAAGTGGGTCTCTGTTTAACTTAACTCTTTGGATGCAAGTAATAACATCACTACGAATCAACATGTCTCCTATTTCAAGTGAATAAGCTAGATATTCTATAAAGACAAATGGTAACTTAAATTGTCACTTTGATGTAAATAACGAATTCACTCATTTTGGTGATCAGTTTATGCCTAGGAGAAAGTTAATTTTGGATGAGATCAAACCCAGTAAATTTTCCATGATAAAGGTATTCTCAACTAACAAAACCTCTGTCCCAGGGACTCCATCAACACAGTCCTGATATCGTAATATCAGCCTATGGTCACCAAGGAAGATTGCTGATTTAACCAACAGCACTTCACTCAGAATAGTATGGCTTAAGCAACATGATGAACAGAACAATTCTTGGTTGATCCCTACTTGGAGAGACCTTATCTTCCCAATAGTAAATGGTCTTTACCTAAATTTGCTTATTCAAGTGAAACAAGTTCAAGTGAAAATCAACAGCTCTTAAACTAATAACTTTGTGCAAAATGTAAGCCATCTGGCTCTGTTCCGGGAAGTCCTACTTTTCAGGACAAGTTTCCCAGGCGAGTAGATCACAACAGCCGGAAGGATTTCTCCCTCCCTATTACTGAAAGGCTCCCCGATAACTGGAGGCAACAGTAGAGTGAGAAAGACTAGTTATCATGAAATGAGAATTAGATTTCTTCTTCTCAGAGTGCCAACATCAGTGACTTTCCTTGCAAAACCTTTTCAAACTTATGATTAACCTTTAAGTTTCAAACAAAATGTTCATTATATGAGGCATTTTGTAAATGAGTAGGTTGGAGTTAGTCTTCAAGAAAATCAAATTTTATTTAATAAAAATCCCAGCAACCACTGGCCATTGCTTTCAGAATGACCAGATGTCCATCGGCATAATCACAATTCATCCTATTTCCCCTCAGGCCCTGACAGTGTTCCACTGCGCCAGACCCAGAACAGGGGGTGTTAATTTGTCTCTCTCTCTCACCAGCCCAAATCATACTGAACCACTTCACCGCTCACCTCTTTCCCTCTTTTTGTTTACCCATCTTAGACTTTCACTTCCCGCTCCCCAATTGTTGAGTATTACAGTAAATACAGTTTATTTATGTGCTCTTTCTACAGTTCCTTGACTTCTTTAAGGCAAGTCAACATATAAAACTCCAAAAATGTAGTTTGAGATCAAATGCACTTAGAGGTAATAAACAAAGATTTTCATTGACTACGGACCATGAATCTAACAACCTTCACTTTGAGTTTATAAATCAAATTTTGGTTGGCACATGGGCTGTAGTTCTTGAATTCCATGCACACTTTTAATAGTTAAGCACTGTGACCAAATGACTTTTTCCTAGCATGTTTCCTGAATGAGGTGTCAATCAAGCCAAAAGAAAATGTTTGGTATATGACGTGCTCTGTGGCCAGTTCAAGTTGACCTAATTAATCATCTCCTTAAGCCAGGGCTTTTAAATGTAGCCAAAGGACACAGTCCAAAGTTGTGTAACCCAGATGGTGAAAGTATGGTTCTACTCTTATTAAGGTGCCATTGTTCATACCTCATTGCAGAAGTAGTGGCATAAAGAATACGCTCAAACATTAAAAGCCTAGCACTGTTCTTGGGGGTAATTCAGTCAGCCATCGGCTATGTAGATGTGCAATTTGTTTTTATGTATAGACCTTGAAATGAGCTACATTCCAAAGGGTACATCAAAACATCTGGAAGATAGTGCATGTGTTAAAAATGTAACTGTGCTTTTTCTTTCAGTTTATAGATTAGTATCAAGTTGCATGCTTTAATCAGAATCTTTGTTATCTTCATGACCTTTAGAAAATATTTGTGTGAATCTCACACCCTAATTGCTGCCTAGAAATCATTTCGAATATGGCACATTTATTTTCTGCTACACGAGAAAGTTAAAGGAAAACTAGTGCTCTCTAAAACAGTGCTTCACCCAAAGGCAACATCCCTCATAGTGTATTTAAAGAGTGGATATATTTATTTTGTAGTTCCATGAGAAATGATACTCCCTTGCCCACGCTCATCACATAGAGCAGTGGTTTGCAAACTTTAAGATGCCTCAGATTCATCGTCGGGATAATTTACAGATTTCTAACCATAACTCCAGAGTTTCTGATCCTGGATGGAACCCAAGTATTTGCATTTCTACCTGATTCTGAAGTAATACTGATGATTTTATGTTGAAGCTGGGACTACACTTTGAAGAATAAAGTGGTAAGTAATTAAAGACAATCTATACTCAGATTTGTATGCTGTTGGCCTTTATCCATTTAAAATAATCAAATGCTAAGAAAAAAAAGTCTGGGAAAAGTGCTTTTCCATGAAATCCATTTTTAAAAATCCCTCCTGGAAAAATCTCTTGATCACTTCTGAAGGAAAAAGAAAAAAGAAAAAAAGAAAGAAAGTCCATTGACTCTGTGAAAGCAATACAGAAAGTGCTAGTTCATGGTTCATAATATGGAGAATTGAGCCAAAATAGATTTTGCCAGTAATCCCTTGTTTCCTAACCATTTCTGTCTTCATTGTTTACTAGAGTCACTAAATATCTTTAAACATTCCCTTTAATCTGTAAAGATTTTTCTTATTTGTAACATCTTATGTAACTCCAGGAAAAAGGAGAGAGAGAGAGAAAGCACATGAAGTATGTGGTAGAAAAATCCACTTCAGTGCAGTTCTCAACTCTAATAGAGATAAAATACTTCTATTTTTAAATTCCTGAATAATTTTGTTTTCCTAAGAACAGTTACGTTTTTTAGATGCGTACAATTTGGATTTTGTATTCTTCACCCCATTGCCCTAAGGTCAAGTGAATATGTCCTTACTTACATATGGTTTTTATCTACTCCTGTGGATTCTGAAAGAGCTTTTAAGCCTGCCGCTCCTCACCCTCCCTTGCCATCCAACTGGGAAGATATGAGCCAGACAGTCAATGGCCTTACAGAGAGGATAGTCTTGCTCAGCCTGGTGCACATCCGTTGGAGTAATAGTATGGCCTATAAACAATGGGGGAAACTACTCCTAAGGGGAAAATAAGAAAAAGAACCTATGTAGATCTTTATAGCAAAAATCAGTTACTTTATTTCAAGGGTTCTGAAATCCCAACTATCAGGCATAAAGCCCTCACTAAATTGAGTGGAGGCATTTCTGATTTTTATGGTCATTTCAACTGAAACAAGTCTTGTGTTTACCTTTGTATTACCTTTGAGGCGAGCGTTTTAAGAGCAAATTAACGGTACCATTAAGATTATGGGAGAACATTTTAAACAACTGGAATATATTTATTTAATATCCTTCTTGAATATCATACATGTATCTATTTGTAATCTCAAATGACTAATCGCAAATAATTCTTAGCCATTCTAGATACATGTCTTGTAAGGACTCCTATTATGCCTCATTAAAATTGCACTAAGAGTGGCATAAATTTTAAAAGAGTATGTAATTCTGGCTGTTTTCATCCAAGTTAGGCTGAATTAGCAAATGCTACCACAAAGCTACACAATAAAAACGCACATAAATTCCTTTTTGATGTCCCACCACCTCAGCCTGATAAGTTCTTTGCTGGCACAAATGTCTCAGACCTGACCACTTCCCTTGTTCCATATTAACATCGAACTCGCATTAATGTATACAGCTATCATTTAATAAAAAATAATAATAATAATAAAACATCGAACTCACAGTATCAGAGCTTCTTTTTGGGGGACACTAAGAATGTTTCTTGGCCTTTTAATAAATACAATGAAATTCATTGTGCCTTTCTTTTTCATGGTATTTTTCAAACTGTTTTGCTGTAATGTTAATGTTTCTATGAGCCAAAAATTCCTAAAAAATAAGCTCCAAAGTTATATAATATTTTACTTTAAAGAAAAACTTGAAATTCTATATTCCTATAAAAATTTGACTTCAATACCTAAATTACCATGCTAGGAAAAGAGAACCCAAAATGATGAAGGGAGGTAAAAATACATGCCTGGTAATGAGCAGGTATAAAAAACATATTCTAAATTAGTTTAATCCCATGTAAGCACAGGTCACTTCAAAATTAATATGTGATCTTCTCCCTGAGCATTAGACTTACAAATAGAAAACCTTTTGACTAAGATCAAGTGTAGTGTCTGTTCTTACCAGTTTAATGTCTGATATGTCCTCTATCTGAGGACAATATATTAAATGGATTTTTGGAGCAGGGAGTTGGAATAGGAGCTTGCTCCATCCACTCCACGCATTGAAAAATAAAAATAAAAAAGAAAATCCACCACTGTGCTTTTTATATGCTGATACACATTTCGCCATGACTTCAGTGAGAAGGCATGTATCAAGATGCAAATGTTTCCAGGTATTATAAACCTATGACATTTTAGGAAAATGGCATGTGCTGCTCACAGAATATCAATCTTTATTCTGTTTATCCCTGGTTTTCAACGTAATCGTCCCTTAACGCACAACAGACTATATGCTTCCAATGTGAAAACTATTTTTATCTTGTAAATTTATGAACATAAAACTTACGTGATGCTTCATATATGTAGTATCACCAACCATTTCCTAATGTAATGTACGAATTATGAGAAGTATCTCACAATATTTAAGAAAAAAGCTTAAATATGAATGAAACCTTTTTGGGCATCAGGAATAGGAGAATTATTATACACTCTTTTCTGGAAAAAGTGGAGCTGGACCTTTATTTGGAGATTTAATAAATACAGCCTTCATTGAGCTGAATTCCATGACCATAAGAATTAAGGGATATCTATATGCGTCTCTTGTGTTCCATTACAATGTGAAGAAGATAAACCTCATGAAATATTTCCATCATTTAAAAAATTATATTATTCTGTTACTACTGAAGACTCATTCCATTAACCTAAGTATTGATCCACATGCTTCTAGATTGTTCTATCAACTAAAATAACATTGACATTTTCTGTCTTAAAAAAATCAAAACCACGATATAAAAATGAACTCTCCTGCTCTCTGCCTATCCAATATGAAGAACTATATCTACTGATCAAACTGAAAAAAAAAATCATTTTTTTTTTTACTTTGACGAGGAACAAGTAGGGTATGAGCTTCCCCAAATAGCAAAATTATTCTGACTTTAATCTCTTCATTTGAGAACATTTTAGTCCATTTTTCTCCCACTTTTATTAGCCTTCAGTAATTTACTGAATACTAAACTCTATGAAGACAGTCACATACCAATTTGTCTTTGAACTCCCAGTTTCTAAAACAATACCATTTACAAAGAGATGTTCAATGAATGTTTGCCGAACTGTAATCTTCACAGAGGTTAAATGAAAAAAAACATTTTGCAGTCCATAAACAGGCAAGACGTGTATCAGTAAATTGTCAATCAAGTCCTTTAGTGATGAGTTGACATGGCTAAAATCTATGGACAAAACCCAAATTTAACACTTTTTTTTGGCTTTTGAAGTTCACAGTGACGTTCTCAAACTGCATGCTATTGGGAATGTACATTTTTCACTATACAGCTCTCTCATTTCTTGAGATTTATTTATCCCATATTCAGTTGAAACCAGAGTACCCCTACTAAGATCAAAAGCTAACGCATTGACCTTTACATGGGTAGATATTTAAATAATGTTCTTCTGTAAGTATCTATTAGATGAGATTTACTTCATGCCATTTGCAATCAACTGCACAGACCGGCAGTACATATATAAAATAAATTCCTCTAGCCAAGCTAACAAAAATATCTCATCGACACTTTGTTTATCCATGGAAAGAAACTGGGCATGTCCTCTGCAGTTTTACTACAGGTCATCTGAAGGGCAGCCCCTGGGTTCCTCTGATCCATGCAGACTTCCCAAGGGCCAAAGAACAAGGTCTGTTTGATCCAGCACCTGCTGTGAGCCCATCACTTGGATACTTTTTCTGCAAATTTTTACCAGACTGAACAGAGTAATATGTAAAGAGAAAAAAGCTCAAAGAGAAATAGGAAAATCAGCAGGAAATCAACAAAAATATCATTAAGAATACTGATCAATCATCTCAGCATTACTTTCCCCAATACAGCTGCTCTTACAATAGGTCAGCAATTGGCTCCAGGACTAATAGATGTTGTTTACAGGTTTTATAGCTAAAAATATTTTTGTTTGCTTCTTATAGGTGATTCAGGTACACAGCAAGAAATAACCATGTTGGCTAATCTTTCACTTTCTCTATAGAGAATGCTGTAAACAACTGCAACCTGCGCTGAGTAGAATAGGATCAGAGACTGGAAAGTATTTGTGAAAAAAATTGTTTTATCTCAGTACAGTATACAATAGAGGGTTCTATGAGAGAGAAAAGAAAACCTATATTTCTAAACATAGTTAAGAAACAGCTTTGGATTTGAAATTAGTAAGACTAGTCAAAGGTCATAGAAGAGTTCAATCAAAAGTGAACTGAAGTCTCAGTGGGTTGCTGTTCTTACGCCCCTAAACTGGTAGAAATCTGTACAAATTATTTTCTGCCTACTTCTATAAAATACTGTCCAAACTGAAGTGACTACAAGGATGATAAAAGACCAAGATCTGTGTGTCATTTTATATATCTTATGGTGCAAACAACTCGAAAGCCAAAATATCAAAATATACAAAAACTAATAATAATGTTATAATGATGTACACAAACTAGGAAACTAAGAGCAGCGTCTAAAGAGCAGAAAATGCCACCAAAAAACTTAAATACATCAACTATTTCTCTAACTTTCTCAGCTGCATTCATAACATTGGGTCTGCCAGGTTGTATTTTTGTCAACCATCAGAAAATGCCTCCGTAAAGACAGCATCTTTGTACTCTAAGAATTCACATTCTAGGGAAGAATTTCAGGCATGTATAGAAGTAGTGGTACAAAAAGGAATATTTGTGACCACATTACTGCTGAACAGGACAGCTTCTGAAGGAGACAGGTTTTGAGCTGGACCTTGAAGGGTGAGCAGGATTTCATGAGGCAGTGTCAGACAGTAGTGTGAAGAATAGTTATATTTAAACCATGTTTTGTATTTCTTTCTTTTCCTCAGCTCTGAGAATAGTCTCTTCACAAAATAGGCATTCAATATGTATGTGTTTCCTACTGAGTCTATTTTCACATTGAAGAATTATATTAATGTGTTCAAGTCTTGGCTTTATATGTTTGACCATATTCTAACTTTTCTTATAATCTTATTACACAATACTCCTTCAAGGGGTAGAAGTCTTAATACACTTCTGGTGGACACACCCAGAACATACACCACCTGGAATTATTGTTCTCTACCCACATCTTTGCTAATTGCACTTTTATGCATCTTTGAAGACCCAGCTTCACATCATCTCCTCTTGGAAGCTCAGTGAGCAGTCATCATTCTCTCTTTTAAACATCTCATACATTTTTATCTTTATCATTGTTTATTTTTTATATTAGATCCCTTGAAGGTGAGGAATCATATTGGTAATATATTACTTCCAATGTGCCTCATTTTTTTAAACACTATAATCACATAATAAATATGTTGATGGAATGTGTTCTAAATTCCACATAACCAGTGGGTTTTTAATACTTAATTCCAGAGGAGACAAGTTATTCATTTCAGGAAATAAAATTTAGTTTTAAGCTTCTCTTCAAAGCACTCTGGTTAAAATGGAGAAAAATGCTAATATGTAATATTTTCACTAGTCAAAATCAATATCTCACAAATATGAAAACATTCTTCTCTTTCATTCTTAACGTTTACTCACATAGAACAGGATTCTTTTATTGAAAATTTTACAATAAAACCTTAATAACTCAACTGGCTCTTATAGAAAACTATATCTTCAAATTAAAAAATAAACCATAGTCCCTGTGATTCTTTACTTTGGGGGAAAATAAAAAATATCCTTAGGCAGCAAAACAAAATCCAGCACCTACAGTAAAGAAAGCATTACTCCATAGCCAGCCGTCACTCAACCCAGTCAAAGAGGCTAGCCAGTACTTGGCCAAACATCATGTTGTCATCAACATCTAATTAAACAGGTTTTCATGTCATTGATTTTTTACACATCACAATCACATAACAAATCTTCTGATGGGATTTATTCTAAAGTCCACATAATTAGTGATTCTTTAATACTTCATGATTAAATTATGCTTACAGTACAATTTTTATATTAGATTTAATGCCCCAAAGCTCTTGTGCATAAAAGGAACACAATTATAAATTAATTCACAAAATTTCTCTACATAAATAAACTTGACTAATAAAAACAAATGTGTAAATCACATCAGTAATTCAACACACGTTTCTTTTCTCTTTTAATCTATTTCTTCTGTAAATAGACAAATTATCACAATCATCCCCAAAGTTCTTATTACACCTGCATTTAATGTACCATCAAAATATTGGCTCTATGTATCTCTTTTTGGCACCTTTCTACTTATCTTTAGACTTCACCATAATCGCAAGAAACCCAAAAGCAAACGGTGCTCTCACAACGTATTTGGCTGACAGATTTTTTATTAAGGACTCAGTGATTCTTGGTTGGGACGTGGAGATAAAGTTAGAAATTCAACCTGATTCAACCTATGCCAATATGCCCCAAGCTAGACCTTCCCCCCCCCCAAGTTCATTTGCTATGCCAATAGTTTTCTTTTACAGGATTTTGAGATTTTTTAATAAACCTGAGGCCTTTGCCTGAAATGATGTGCCTTTTGATATTGCCTCCGTATCACTTCAATAGTAACAAGCTTATACTTACTTGTTAGAAATTAGTAAAAATTTAGTTTTAGGCTTCTCTTTTAAAAGCTCTCATTTAAAAAGGAAACTGGTTATTTTGAATGGAGAATAGTGTTAGAAATCAAAATATGGGCTCTAGGTGAAATTAACATTGTTTCAACTATTTCTAGAAATAGGGTAGATGATTACTTTGGGGACAGGCCTGGAAAAATATATTCATTTTGAAGACCAGAAGCTCACAATAGTAATAATGGTTGTAATTTATATTTATCATCACTAAATTATTTCTTTCTTAAATAAAGATGTTTTCATCTATTTTCTCTGCTACATACTTTATTGTAACCAATCACCTAAACTATAGTTGCGCTCTCTCTCTCTCTCTTTTTTTTTTTTTTGTAATTCTCTGTGTTACATGGACTATCACTTTAGAAACAACACTAAACATTTTTAAGAAGGTGGCCTAATTGTACCATCATCTTAGGACAGAACAGGACAAACTGGATTTGGCGTTATTATAACACTGATTTATGCTTTCTTTGAAATTCTCCTCCTGATGAAATTTCTTGGATATC